AAGTCTCTCTTGCAAGTACCTCGCTCCTTCTCTCCCTTCCACCATCTATCTCTGAAACCCTGGCAGTATGGCAAAGCCCACTTGAAGAGTTGCCTCATCCAGGAAGTCTTCCCTGATTGAAAGCAAGGATGGTCTTCCCATTTCAGTGGGAAAAGCACTTTCTATATCACGCCCTTATTCCCTGTTTTAAAATTATTATTTAAATTGTTGCCTTATCCTTTCTCCTAACCCCTTAAAAGCCCCTAAGTCCATCAACATATGGGAACATATCTTAAAGATTTTTATACCACCTGTAATACCTTAAACAGAAATTGTTTATACAGTGCCTGCATTATATAACCTCTCGATAAACCAGGTTACTACCCATCAAACCAGAAGGAAAATAGCCAATAGCAGTAGCGAAGCTCTTAGGGATGAAGAAATGTTTAAAGTCATAATGAATGCCCCTTGTTATCTCTAACAACGAGCTAAGGCACTTGTGTGGTGTGTAGGAAGGTAACTCAGTGAAGAGGAGACCACTTACAAGGTGAAGGACTCATTCCACTGGGGGTTTAGCGTAGAGCGGATGGTTTTGGTTTTTTGTTTGCTTTCATTCTTAGGATCAGGAATAAGCTTCAGCTTCACATAAGGATCTGAAAGCCCATTTGGATCCATAGGGATTAGATTTTTTGCATCTCGTACTGTGAAAAGAGAAAAAGAAAGACTGAATGTTACCCAAAGAGGACTGACCCGTATTGCTCGATGTCCTGTCCAATGCCGAGCTGAAAGAAAGTGACGTCAAGATGGTGTTTAAGGGGACAGGGGGCAAGGACCAGAAGCCTCTGACATGGAACAGGAGAGAAGCCACTTGCTGTGTCGCCAGCAGAGATCACGGGCATTCTGTGGGCCCTCGTGGCACAGTCTTGCTGCTCCGAGTGGTCCTGTGCCAGCAGCAAGTGGTCCTGGGCCAAACCTGGATCCCACCCAGACCTGAAGCAGAAGCTGTACTTTGATGAGGCTCCTC